GCTGGGTTGGCCCACAAGCGCTCATTCATCTTTTACTTCTAGTTCAGAAAAAGGCAAGCAGCCATTTATATGCTTCAAATTGTAGCCAGGGTAGCTGGCTCTAACTGTAAGAATCAAAGTCTTGCGCAATTCACACTGAGCACCAACCTGCAATGCCAAAGTGAAGTTACGCACTGCTGCTTTAAACTGGTCGCACACTCATTCAGTTGAGAGTGCTACAGGCAAAAGACCACTTTGGTGGCTTCAGTTAAAGAGGCAGAGCAAGCCTAGTGTTTCAGTTCCGTGTGGGAAGCTGAGTCCACGCTGCTTTAGGAGCTGCCTCTCTCTCCTGTGATCAGAAGAGGGGGGCTCTTTACTAACCCAGATTATGCACAGTGGGTGCAATATGGACTCCAGTTCAGAGGGGACCAGGGTGAGATCACCATACTCACAGGATTCCCCATTGCAGAGGGTTGATTGTTAAGCACACTCGAGCCATGGACTTTACATATCAAGGGGCTCATCATGAACAGAAATATTTCTGATGCCATCCAGGACAATGTTCAATTCTATAGACCTTACCGCACATAGGGGAGTGTGGGGGGGGACCACAACATCTTTACAGGTGAATTCCAGTTATCCAAATTCCATTTATACGAGAATCCTAATTATCCAAATCAACAGTGTCACCTCCATGCAGCCCTATGCCAATTAATCACCCGCTGATTAACAAACATTAAGGCTGCGGGAACCGCGATTTGGAAGGATTTCCAGATAAACGGAAGCATGGGTATGGTCAATTACCTCCCCTGAGGCTGTCGTGCTGGGAAGCAGTGATGCTGGTCTACGAGAGGGAGGGGGCATAGCTACAGGGGTCTGGACCCTCCGTGGCGTGCTCTAGCGCTTCCTGGCTAGGACAGCCTTGGGGTAGGTAGCCAGCTGTACCCCTCACTATTTGTACTGCACTTGTGGAGCCTGGGGATGTTAGTGCTGGAGCAACACCAAGGAGGCTCCAGTCTCCTGCAGCTGCTCTCCCTCTCCTTCCTTCCCCTTCTCTCTCCTCCACCCCCGGGGGCCGCCATCACTGCTCCCTGGTACTGACAGCCAGACCGCACAATTCCATTAGCCCAACATTCTGGGTGTCCCCCAGGCAATTCAGATAAACGCAATTCTACTGTATTTGGAGGGTGACACCCATACTCCCCAAAAGCAACCCATCCAGGATACGGCTCTGCTGGGGCTTGGATCTGTGCAGGTCTGTTCCAGGCATAGGCACCATGCTAAAGACGTGTCTGCCAAAAGGAGGCAGCTATCCGAGTTCCCAGTGGGGTGAGGGCTAGAGGACACAGCCTTCCCCTTTTGTTCTGCCAAGTCAGCTCCCTGCAGGGACCTTGAACTCTAGCACCAGATGGCTAGGACTAGGAAAGCAGTACACGGTTACATCAGAACATGGGATCAGGAGGTTACCGTCCTCAGCTGTACTCGGAGGGGAGCAGAGCTTAAAAACAAACACCATTTCATTTCCCCAGGGAAGATGTATTAAAAAGTCCCGCAATGCATTAGTCAGACCCTTTAGTGCCCTAGCATTGAGCTGCTAGGCACAGACTGTAGCCTTCAGACTGAGAAACCCGAACAGTTCCATTTACAGATGAATTCTGTCCAGTTAAAATGAAAGTGAGGGAAAACTGCGCATTCCAGTCTGAATTTCCACCAGATGATGCCATGCATGCTGGGATTTGGTTACCCAAGAGGAACATGAAGATCTGATCAGGCCACCTGTTCAAACAGCCCTGCTAGGTTCTACATTTGGAGCAGCAGGAAGTCAGCGTAGTCACAGGAAGGTGAGTATGCTGTATTTAAAGGGACTCCCCTCCTGGTAGAGCTGGACTATACACGGGCATCTTCCCTGCAGCTCTAGGTAAAGAGGTGTAAGTGGCTTTTCTGTCTCTTGCTCGCTAGCAGCTTGGTGCCAGAGCTCCATGGCACTGTTACTGCAACAGAGGAGACCCATGCAGGGAAGCACCTTGACCAGCGTATTTGCCTAGGAGTCCTGAGGGGCAGTGTTCAGTCGGAGTTACATTTCTCTTTGAGGACAGTCACCGAGCAGGCATTTGGGGGGAGGGGGGGAAGAGGAGGAGAGAGAGAGAGAGAGAGAGAGAGAGAGAGACTGTGCCCTGTTTAGAAGCTTCCCTTAAGGGCAAGCCTCTTGAATTTCCCCCTTCTTTGGCTGATGACGCCCCACTGTGGCTGGCGGGATAGGTCCCCCTAAGGTGCCCTCCACTGAGGTTTCATTCCTTTGTGCTCTCTAGCTACAATGGAGAAGCTTGTTTAGCCTGACTTGTTCAGTACTTTGTCCTGCATCATTCCTATGCAGCACCTTTCCCATCCCGAGCAGACTAGAAGCAAACAGGCTTCTGAAGGGGAGCTGCCTTACCATTCCTTCCGCAGGTCAGGACTCGTCAGGATGGCAGAGGCAATACGAGCTCCATTGACGGGTGGGTTTGAATACATGGGGCGGATCAGGATCTTCAGCTGGGATTCCACCCTCTTGGCCTCATCCACATCCTTGCAGATCACTGAGAAGGCACCCACGCGCTCCCCTGAAACACAATCCAAGTCAGATCATACCCGTCCTACCACAACAGACAATGTATGTTGTAGGCAATGTTCCCTCTAATTTGAGGGACCTTGTGCGCAAAAAATGTCTTCTGTGCAAATGTTTGTACGCGCGGTGTTTCGCCGTGTGTGCAGGGTTTAGGATCTGTGTATGCACACACAGCTTAGAGGGAACAGTGGTTGTAGGCCTCCAGCATTTGGATTAGATCTGCCCTGGGATGCCACAGCAGTCCCCATTTGCAGAGGGGACATCACAGGTAGAGTAGCATGAGCTTCCCCAGTACCCCAGATCTCCCTTCTGTGCCAAAGGGGAGTGCCTCTAGGAGGAGAAAGGACGTGGATCTGGTGGGCATCCACCAGAAGGTAGGGATTTTTGGTCACTAATGGTGCAGGTGGCTTTCACATTGGCAACCTGGAAGTGAAAGGCTCCATCTCTCATCATTAGCCCTCTGAGCCATCTTCCTTTCCCACTGCTTACCGTAAAGGCCCATGTTCTTGGCATAGGACTGAGACAGAACAACATTAATGCCTTGCTCAATAAAATGACGCACAGCCCAGGAGTCCCGGTTTATGTCCCCGCTGGCAAAGCCCTGGTACGCCATGTCAAAGAATGCAAAGAGATTCCTTTTCTGCAAGGAAAAAAACAAAGATTCAATCACTCACCCTTCTAATGGCTGAATGTCCAGGGTCACCTACGAGCCGTAGGAATTAGTTACTAGAGATTCATGCAGGGCCTCCCCCATTTGTTACTGCACCAGCTGTGGGCCATTTCCACAACCACCGGGGCTCCTGGCTACTAAAAGGCAGCATGAAGTGGCACGCAGAGTCACACATTATGTAGCACATAGCAGTACATTTCATTTGCAGTCCAGGCTAATCTTTGAGCTAAATACTTTGAGAACTGTGTGTCTGAAGGGAAGATGCTAACCCCAGAACATGAGACAGCTTGTCAGGTTGGCTGGCATCCTCCTATCCCCCATCACTTCCTCTGTCCAATGGCCAAGATTGCACAAACATTTAGCTGGGTTCAGTTTTTTAGTCTTCTGTCCCCTTCCACGACAAACATGTTAATGCCCTAATGCTTTAACACAACTTTAAAATAAGCCAACATCACTAGGTTCCCTTCTCCAATTCAGGAACCAATCACTCAGTAGCAGAGCAGTCACACCCTAAGCAAATCCTTATTGAAGTATCCTGCAGGAGTCTTTGGCCCTGGTTTACTAGAAACTGTTTCCAGTGCCACCAAGCCACAGACATGTGCCATAGGCCTTAATATAAAAGGTATTTTTGGGGAGAGGCGCAGAGAGACACATCCTTCCTTGGCAGATGGTCTCTGAAGTCTCAGATCTACATATTTCCTGTTGTCGGCCACAAAAGATTAGCCTCCTAATTTGAACCCCAAGGCAAGACTTGAGTTTCAGCCTTCATTCTACTAGCCAATGTGCTGGACAAGATTCCCTTCAGGAATAGGAAAACCTACTTCAACAGCTAAAGAGATTGCCCTTTGAGACAGTCATTCTCCATCGAGGAACTTAAAGTGACACTCTATTCACCAACTCTGCTGTGTGTATTCAAACTCATCTCTGCTTGGTATAGTGACTGTCAGATTCTATTGCTTTATACTCCTGCTAGGTCTACAGGAGGCAGTACAGCTAAGGAATGAACTGGGTTTGATCCTTTCTTGGTCATTATCAGCAGAATTGATTACTAAGTTCCAATCAGAAACATCTGCAGAGACAATGGGGCTGCAGAGATGTTACTGAGAACATCATCATTTGGCATGCAAAATATGCATTACAGATTACATGCAATAAGAAAGAATCCAGCTTGAGTCTCAGAGCTAAAGCTGGTCAGTAATTTTCCATCCAAATGATTTTCCTGAGGGAAACTGCAGTTTCTGTAAAAATCAGAATTTCCATTGGAAAATTTCAGTTTTGCCAAAATTTGCTTTCCACTAGGAAAATCTAAATGAAATATTTCATGTTGGCTTGAATCAAATTGGAATATTTCATTTTATTGAACTAACCCAAACTATTTCAAGTGAATTCAACAGAACATTAAAGTGCATTTTCTTATGGAAGTTGTAATCCTCCAGGTAGCTCAGCCCACAGCAGAGAATGGGGACCCACACCAGAACTCCCATAATGCAATGTAGAGTTTCCTCCAGCCAAGATGTGTGTTACATCATGGGAATCACATGACTCTAGATGCATCATGGGAGATGTACTCCAGCCGGGGAGCCTGGCCCATCGGGAGCCTGATAATTCTCCCCTAACTACAACTCCCATGAGGCAATACACCGCAGTAGGAAAATGTAGTTTAACTTTGAACTGACTTGAAATGAAGAATTTTGGCTCACTTTGACAAACCAAAATGAAATATTTTGTTTTGTCATTCCCCAAATCTTCTGTGTTGACACTTTTGGCATTTCCAAATTAAAATGTTTTGGAATTGCTGTTCTGTGAAAAATTTCAATTTTTCATCCCAATTTGGACAAACAAATATTGAAATGTTATAATTTCCTGTGGGATGAAAATTCTGAATTTTGCTGATCTTTACTTAGATAGCAGAGTGAATTTGCAGAGTTAGTTGTTAGAAGAAAGACATTTAACTGAGCACATCTGCTACAGAATCCTCTAGCCCAGGGGTTCTCAAACTGGAGGTCGGGACTCCTCAGGGGGTCGCGAGGTTATTACATGGGTGGGGGGGGGTCGCGAGCTGTCAGCCTCCACCCCAAACCCCGCTTTGCATCCAGCATTTATAATGGTGTTAAATATACAAAAAAAGTGTTTCTAATTTATAAGGGGGGTCGCACTCAGAGGCTTGCTATGTGAAAGGGGTCACCGGTACAAAAGTTTGAGAACCGCTGCTCTAGCCAGCCACTGACCAGCCATCTCTCCCACCGATTCTAGCTGCACTTTCCTTCCCACAGAGAATAGAGTCAAATATCTGCAGTATACCCAGGCATTTCTTATTTCCAACCATCACTGGGTTGAGAAGGAAGGTAGTTTTAGCATAACAATGTTTGTTGCTGGAGCTCCTACAATATTCCATGTTCAAGAATTCAAATGAGTTTCAGCAGAATAATTATCGGGGCCTTAGATAACTGAGATTTCCATAGAACGCTGAGTGTTTGACCTGTGAGTATGTGCTATGAATTCTGCTTCTGCACCAGTCCAATACATTTGGGCTCCCCTCTACTTTAGACAGGTACGGTTGCCATCCAAGTTGACAAGGGACAAATGGGCCAGTGCTCAACAGAGACCAAAGGCTACACAGCAAGACTTTGCTCTAAGAAAGTCTAGGAACATGGCACCATTTCATCAGTAGTATCAACACAGATATGACATATACACCAGCCCACCCCATAACTCACCTTCACCACAGCAGCCAGCTCCTTCCATTGCTCTGGTCGGGGGTCCACACCAGTGGGGTTGTGAGCGCAGGCGTGGAAGAGAATGACACTCTGCTCGGGAATTTTCTAAAGAAGATATTACAGAGAGTGACATGAGACAAGCGATGTTTCTTCTTCAGTTGCCTATAACTAAGCCACAGGGCAAGCAGTGAGTTAGAAGGCAGAGCAATATCAGAAATGAGGAGTAAGAGGCGAGCAGCAGTAAATCAGTTCGCGCTCAAGAGTGTGATGAGTTTTGTAGAGAAGTGGCTCTCAAATCAGGGGTACGCATACCCCTGGGAGTACGCAGAGTCTTCCAGGGGGTACATCAACTCATCTAGATATTTATCTTGTGTTACAGCAGGCTACAGAAAAAGCACTAATTAAGTCAGTACAAACTAAAATTTCATACAATGACTTGTTTTTTCTGCTCTGTATACTATACACTGAACTGCAAGTACAATATTTATATACCAATTGATTTATTTTATAAATATATGGCAAAAATGAGAAAGTCAGCAATTTTTCACAGTAATAGTGTACTGTGACACTTTTGTATTTTTATGTCTGATTGTGTAAGCAAGTTTTTAACTGAAGTGAAACTTGGGGTACACAAGACAAAGCAGACTCCTGGAAGGGGTACAGTAGCCCGGAAAGGTTAAGAACTGCTGCTTTAAAGGTTCCAATGACTACTAGAAATTGCAACTACAAGATGAGGGAGCTGCTCAGTGGTCTGAGATTCAGTCTCAGCCTAGAAGCTAAGGAAGTAGGGTCATGAGACTACAAACACTACCTTCCCCCGCTGCTCCCATCCCAACAGTCAACTCACAGAAATGTCATCCAAGGCTCCAGCGAAGTCAAAGCCGCAGGTCTTGGGATCATAGTAGCGATAGGCATGCAGCTGCATGCCAGCATCCCTGAAAATGGGGGTGTGGTTGCCCCAGGATGGTTTGGGCAGGTACACGTCACGGCTGTACTTGAAGAATCGTTGCTATGGCAGAGAACGAGAGCAAGTTCAACTGGTGTATTCCATTGCTGCCAATAAGAAAGTCGGTCTCCCAGCAATAAGGAGTTTAATCAATGCATGAGCTTCGGCCACAGATGTCCCCTCTCCTCCCATCACCATTTCCCAGGGACTCACCAAGAAACTGGCTCCAACTCTTAGAGACCCAGTCCCAGAAATCGTCTGCACGGTGACGTACTACAAGGAAAAGGGATACAAATGCGTAAGATGCCAAACTACCACACAAAATATGGACCATGTTAAAGTGCACTAACATCTTTTTTAGTGTGCATGAGCCACACAGAAGAAACACTGATGTTACAGATCTATTCTTAACTCATCAATACCTAAATCCCGTACAAGACAGCAAGCTAATTCCCCAGGCCTGAGAAGTTAAAACAACGTTTCATGGATCTTTTACTCAATTTCAAATGGTAACTTACAATACAACCTGAGATTAAAAGTTAGCTAAACAGCAAGACATGGCTCTACATTAATTGAAATACTGTCTCATCATAGGACTGGGAGCCAGGAATTGCTGAACTCCACCTCCAGTTCTAACACTGGCTTCTTTGTGCCCTTGGACAAGGTCGCCTCCCCTCTTAAGTGAGTTTTTCAGAAGTGCTCAGAGTTGCCGTCAACGGCAGCAGAGTTAGGCCAATGCCATGCTAGACCAGAACCCTGGGTTCTATTCCCAGCTGGATGACCGTGGGCAAGTCACGTAGGCTTTGTTGTCTCAGTTCCCTCCTCTAAAACGAGGACAATGATATTGACCTCCTTTGTAAAGCACTTTGAGACGTACTGAGGCAAAGCACTACAAGAGCCAGAGGTATTATCTGTTGCTCTTTAAATGCTCTGCAAGAGAAATGTCTGTACGTGGTTATGGAATTCTTTGCTGACAAGTACAAAGCTTACAGGGTAGAACAGCCCTACTTGTACAGTATTTTAGTCCAGACTTCCACCTAGCTCTTTACCCGGCCACTCTTGATAACCTCATTGGTGTCACCCAGTGCCAGCTCAGCTGATGCCTTATTGAACTCCGCCAGCCCTGCAATGGGTAAGTACTCCTTGTCCATCTTCTTAGCAGCTATCTGGGCCTCCGCCTAAGAAAGGAACACACGTTCAGTTTCTGCACACGTTCTACAGGCTCCCCAAGGCTCTGCCAGAGGTAATATATATATTAATGTTTCCTTTGCTTAGCACTCAGTACAATGGTAAGGTACCATCCAAGAATATAAACTGGCCATCAACAAGGTTTCTAACCATCAGAGCAGTGAAGATCTGGAACAGCCTTCCAAGAGGAGCAGTGGGGCCAAAAACCTAACTGTCTTCAAGACTGAGCTTCATGGAGGGGATGGTATGATGAGACTGCCTACAATGGCAGGTAGCCAATCTGTGACTGCTAGCAGCCAATATCTCCAATGGCTGGTGATGGGACACTAGATGGGGAGAGCTCAGCGTTAGTACAGAGAATTCTTTCCCAGGTGTCTGCCTAGTGGGTCTTGCCCACATGCTCAGGGTCTAACTGATGGCCATATTTGGGGTGAGGAAGGAATTTTCCCTCGGGTCAGATTGGCAGAGACGCTGGGGGTTTTCACCTTCCTCTGCAATGTGGGGCACGAGTCACTTGCAGGTTTAAACTACTGTAAACGGTGGACTTTCTGGAACTTGAAGCCTTTAAACCATGATTTGAGGACTTCAGT